GCGGAAATTAAAGCATGCAACTTGCAAGAAAGTAAAGGGAAGGGTTTGGATGATTCAAACGCAATTGGAGACACAGATGTTTTTGGCGTGGTTCCGATAGGTGGTGCTATCGTACATCCACGTTGATGGAGACTTCAACCCACGAAGGGTAATGGTTGCGCGAGTCCACGGAGGGCTCCACCCACGAAGGGTCCACGAAGAAGCAACCTTGTCTATCCCACCATGGTCGTCGCCCACGAAGGACTTGCCTCACTAGAGGTAGATCTTCACGAAGTCGGCGATCTCCTTGCCCTTACAAACTCCTTGGTTCAACTCCACAATCTTGTCGGAGGCTCCCAAGTGACACCTAGCCAATCTAGGAGACACCACTCTCCAAGAAGTAACAAATGGTGCGTTGATGATGAACTCCTTGCTCTTGTGCTTCAAATGATAGTCTCCCCAACACTCAACTCTCTCTCATGGGATTTGGATCTGGTGGAAAGAAGATTTGAGTGGAAAGCAATTTGGGGAAGGCTAGAGATCAAGATTGATATGGTAGGAATGGAATATCTTGGCCTCAACACATGAGTAGGTGGTTCTCTCTCAGAAATGGTAAGTTGGAAGTGTAGGTTTAGTCTGATGGCTCTCTCCACGAATGAAGAGGAGATGGATGGGTATATATAGCCTCCACACAAAATCTAACCATTACACACAATTTACCAAACTCGGTGGGACCGATTCAACAGGCTCGGCCGGACCGATTTAGTAAACCTAGTGACCGTTAGTGATTTTCGGTTGGACTGACATGCAACTCGGTGAGACCGATTCAGTTAGGGTTAGGGCATAACATAATCTCGGTAAGACCGATTACACAAACTCGGTGAGACCGATTTTGGTAATAAGCTTTCCAGAGAGTTGGTCAGGTAAACTCGGTGGGACCGATTTGCTCTTTTCGGTGAGACCGAAATGTTACAAAAGGGAAACAGAGAGTTTACATTGCAATCTCGGTGGGACCGATCGCTCACTTCGGTTAGACCAAAACGTTACGAAGGGAAACAGAGAGATTACAATCCCATCTCTGTGAGACCGAAATCCCTATCGGTAAGACCGATTTGCTTATGGTTTGTGGCAGTGGCTATGACTTTCAAACTCGGTGGCGCCGGATAGAAAGAATCGGTGTGACCGATTTTGGCTTTGGGTTTAGGTCATTTGTGGATGTGAGAAAGCAGCTGAGGGTTTCGGAGCATATCACTAAGCACATGAAGCAAGAGGCTCATTAAGCAACACCTCATCCCTCCTTGATAGTATTGGCTTTTCCTATAGACTCAATGTGATCTTGGATCACTAAAACATAAAATGAAGAGTCTTGAGCTTTTGAGCTTGAGCCAATCCTTTGTCCTTAGTATTTTGAGGGATCCACTTTCATCATCCATGCCATGCCATTCATTGAGCTTTCCTGAAATAATATTCTTGGAATAGCATTAGCTCAGTGAGCTATATGTTGTTATGAATTACCAAAACCACCTAGGGATAGTTGCACTTTCAACCTCATCTCACAGCTGCTGTACTCGTTAGTTTTCTTAATTTTCCTGTGGTATTCGGTGTTGACCGCAAACCCATGAAACTTTGCATATGTCTGGTAGAATTCCTTTGCTTCTTCGAATGATTCAAATCTCTGCCCAACGTTCGGTGGCTGAGGTACCACGATCTCTGATTGGCCACCATCTTCATCCCCTTGTGCTTCATCATCAGTTTCATCATTCACTTCAGTATCGGCGGCAGTTTCATCTACTTGAGTGTTGCCAGTGCTTGTGTTTAAAGGGGTGCTTGTCGGCATTGCTGGAATGATTGCCATTTCCGACTCTGACTCGGCATTGTTTGCAACATGATTGTCGGCTGGCTGGTGGGACGCATCTTCCGTGCGCTCAGAGCTCCCCATAGTAGATGTCCCCGCGCCGTTGTTCACTATAGTTGTAGGCCTTGTAATAGAAAAAACAGGTACGAGCGTAAGATTTTGCTTGAATAACATGTTTATCATAACGGAGCACATCAACTTCAAGTGATTTGGCATGACATCATTCAAATAACAAGCCGTGAGTCTGCGTGTGGACATGCATGGCAACTGTAGTTGTCCAGTCATGACAGCTACAGTCCAACAAACATGGCAACTACTGATTGCCAATGCATGGCAACCAGCTCCTTTTTAGTACAAAAACTTGGATTCTATATGCATGGCATCTGCAGTCCTGCATACATGACAAATACTGTTACCAATACATGGCAACTAGTGTGTTCTAGCATCAAAACTTTGCATTCTAGACTTGAGCTCACTAGGCAAATGCGATCAACCATTAGTGCTGCACACATGCTTTTAGCAGTTGGCAAATTTCCGAAGACAATATATGACTCATTGCACACAACCACTTGTTAGCGTTTTATGCTTGATTTTTTTCCACCATCACTGCTACAAATTTTTTTTTTCGTCACATGCTATTTGCCACAAAAAAACAAATGCAGCGCTCTTTTGCGGTTCAATTTTTCCTTACCTTGTTGTGCTGCATGTGCCCATCTTGTGTTGTCTGTCACACCAAATTGACGTGCTCTATTTGCAATCTGTGAAGCTTGCCACGAGACGTTTGCCGGGGTTCCACCACCGTAATAACCTGTAAGCATGGTAGTAGTTGGTCAATACATGGCAACTGCAGTTGTCGAGGCATGGCAACTGCAGTTGCCTGGCATGGCAACTACAGTTATCCTGGCATGGCAATTGCAGTTGTTCCTTCATGGCAACAACAGTTGTCCAGGGAGGGCAACAACAGTTGTCCAGGGAGGGCAACAACAGTTGTCCAGGAATGGCAACTGCAGTTTTTTATTTATGGCAATTGCAGTTGTCCAGTTATGGCAACTGCAGTTGTCAACTATGCTCCTTCTGCTAATTCACCGTCCGCAACTTCACTTTTGTGGACTCACCTGTGTATGACATCGATGGCAGGTACATGGGTGCTGCCTGATGCCACGTGCTGCATGAAGGCTCTGCATTTTTCCCCAACATAACTCGTGAGTCTTTTGCCAACCTTTGCAAGTTTATTTTTCATGTCCAGACCAGTATGTATTCTTTTCCGTATGTGTTACCTTGATTTTCCACATTAACTAGTTGAAGTTGGTCGCCCGAACATTTGTCAGTGTTAGCGCCATGTGACTGAACTTGCCATGGAGCCCCCCTGAGTGTGTTTTGGTCATAAGAACCTGCGAAAAAACGACAGTGTAGGACATAAGTAGAATGTCATCTTCATCGTCGCGAACATGGCAAATGTTCTTTTCTTTGTTATCACGCATCATACCAATGCCTGCGCACTGTTCTAGTAGTGGCAGTAACGACCCTGCAGAAATGAGTTGACTGTACTCTGATGCATCCCAAGGGGGCGTTTCTGGACTTTGAGAACCCCAAGTATCAACGCCATCTTCGTGATTCATTCTTTTCGCGTCTCGTTTCTGCCAATGTGTTCTCAATCACTGCATGAACAAGAACGCATCAACAATCCATAAAAATTGTATTCTTTTGCTGCTTGCACATAGAAGATAACACGTCAGTGTTATCACATTTTCATGCATAGACAACCAACACATCACGGCAAGTAGGACATGCACATCCACTCTCTTTTTCTAAAATCTGGGTGCTAGCTATCTGTTCGATTTGATGGCAACAACCACTACAATAGGATGTCAAGCAACAGGTTAACATGGTGGCAGTTAACGACAACGAAAGGTGGCAACTAACGTTAGACACAAGTGGCAATTAATTTTTCCCACCCCCTTTATTCCAAATTTGTCATTTCTCTTCCTTTTTAAGGGATTCCTACTCATACATTTCATTACCAACTACTTGCGTCTAGCGAACTAGGAACTTAAGCTAATCTCAAACGTAGTACATGGCAGATCTGGTGTATTCTGCTTGGCAAATGCGAAGATACACAGAACCATGTAGTGTTTTATCCCTATAGCGTGGATCCAGTCGCCACCTTCATCGGTAAATTTGCAATTTTCTGTCCAGAAGAAGGATGAGAAGCAGTATGAGATCGGTAGATTTCACCTGCTTTTAGCTGATCGTCTTTGGAGGGCGGGGGGTGAGGGAGGGTTGGGGTGTGGTTTGCGGTGGGAAGGCCCTACGGATCTGTTCTGGTTGCCATGGCAACCAGAGAAGGCCGATGATGGAGGTAGGGGTTCGAGAGGTGGGAGACGATGGCGGCAGTCGGGGGTGGGGATCGATCAGAGGCCGGGAACAGCTGGTCGTGCGAGCAGCGGGGTCGTCTGGCCCGGACGGTGTCCTGCGGGCGGGGTTGCCACACACCGGACGTGCGGGCTGTGCCTTTGCGCACCCGGACGCGGTCGTGCGGGCGGGTTCCCATCCATGCCACACGAGGCGTGCGGGCGGGTTCCTGTCCATGCCACACGTGTGGCAGTTATCGAAAAAAAAAAAGAAGTGTTCAACTCTACGACGCTTTGGGTAATAAAGAAAAAGAAATCCAAAGTAAAAATCTCCACAACTCCCAACTCTACGACAGCGTTTTTCACCACCATGGCCTCTCCGTAGTCCGTATCTTTCTCTCTTCCCGCAACCATCTTCTCCCCCAAAATCTCCCCAACTCCCAGCTCCCAACTCCTCCGCCCATCCAAATACCATAAACACACTCCAACTCCTTCCTCCGCGGCCTAAAGTCCCAGTCTTTCCGCTAAATCCCGCTTATCCCCCCGTCTTTCCTCGCCCGTACAGCCCCCGGAACCAAGATCGATCCTTCCTCGAGGTGCAGTCGCCGCATTGGAGCATGAGGCTCCGATCCGCGCCGCCGGCGCCGCCGCGGCTGCTGCTGGTGCTGGCCGTGCTCCTGTACGGCTTCTGCTGCTGCTGCGAGGGGAGGTTCGTCGTGGAGAAGAACAGCCTCAAGGTCACGGCGCCGGACTCTCTTAAAGGCAGCTACGAGTGCGCCATTGGCAACTTCGGCGTGCCGCAGTACGGGGGCACCATGGTCGGCGTCGTCGCCTACCCTAAGTCCAACCGGAAGGCCTGCAAGAGCTTTGACGACTTCGACATCTCCTACAAGGCCAAGCCCGGGTCCTTGCCCACCTTCTTGCTAGTCGACCGGGGAGGTGAGCAAATTACCGTAGAGAATTGTTTCCTTTCCCTTAGCCTGCATGGATATAATTGGCCCTAGAAGTGAGATAAGTATCTTTTGTTAATTCGTCTAGTCTTTTCTGTGCCTTGAAAATTAGATCTTGGCATGTGATGATAGTGATTGAGCTGAATGTTAGTTGACCGGATTTCGTACAACGACGAAATCCCTGTCTCACAGTCTGGGTCACACTTAGGATCTGAAAAGCCTTTACCGTGAACACCTCCTGTGATTTCTTTAGTACCCATGTCACTGTCTTGGTGTTTGACCTCTGTGATGTTCCGCTGATTTTGTTTCAGCCGATTCTTGTTTAACATTCTTATTTGTCTGCTTGGCCATGTTGCATTCTACTCGGTCAATTAAAATATGCTCAATCATGTTGTGTTGGTTAAGTAAAATATGCCGTTGATTACATAAAACATGGTTTTTCGTGTTCTATATAGATTGCTTCTTCACAAAGAAGGCATGGAATGCTCAGAACGCAGGAGTGGCGGCTATTCTTGTTGCTGATGACAAGGATGAGCCTCTAATTACAATGGATACACCTGAAGAGAGTGGAAGGGCTGATTATTTAGAGAACATCACCATACCATCAGCGCTGATAACAAAAAGCTTCGGGGACAGACTCAGGAAAGCAGTCGATGGCGGTCACATGGTTAATGTGAATTTAGATTGGAGGGAGTCCCTGCCTCACCCTGATGAGCGTGTTGAATACGAGTTCTGGACCAACAGTAACGATGAATGTGGTCCCAAATGTGACAGCCAGATTGATTTCGTTAAGAGCTTTAAAGGACCAGCACAGATACTTGAGAAAAAGGGATACACACAGTTCACTCCTCATTACATTACCTGGTATTGCCCGGAGGCCTTCACACTAAGCAAGCAGTGCAAGTCCCAGTGTATCAACCATGGAAGGTACTGTGCACCTGACCCGGAACAGGATTTCAGCAAAGGGTATGATGGGAAAGACGTGGTGGTTCAAAATTTGCGGCAAGTCTGTGTTTATAAAGTTGCGAAGGAGAATAAGAAGCCTTGGTTATGGTGGGACTATGTGACCGATTTTGCAATCCGCTGCCCAATGAAGGAAAAGAAGTATACCAAGGAATGTGCTGATGGAGTTATCAAGTCACTTGGTATGTTGGTCTTTGCATCGCCTCTTTATACCTTTCAAAGTGTGGTGTAGATAATTGTATTGAACACATTTATGATTTTCAGGACTTGATCACAAAGCAATAGATAAGTGTATTGGTGATCCAAATGCTGATGAAGAAAATCCTGTGCTGAAAGCTGAACAGGATGCTCAGGTTAGTACTTGGTACTTTTGTGTGATTTGTCTCTTCTGTTAATCCCACTTGTGATCATGTTGTATCATTTTGGACCGTCTTACATAGATTGGCAAAGGCGCTCGTGGCGATGTCACTATATTACCAACACTGGTCATCAATAATAGACAATACAGAGGTGTGTGCTCTGTCAAACCACAAATGCAATTCACTATAGCTACCAGCAAGTTACGTGGTTCCGGTTGTGCTTATCCTAACATTTGTTTTGCAGGGAAACTTGACAAAGGGGCAGTTCTTAAAGCACTTTGTGCAGGTTTCCAAGAAACTACTGAGCCTGCCGTTTGCTTGAGTGAAGGTTAGTGCATTGATTTCCATACCCTTTTCCTCGGTGCTGCTTTGTGAGTATGGCAAGCATAACCTGTCTGGTATCCTTCTCTCAAGCATCGTCAATTCTTGTTATCAAATTGTAGATATACAAACCAACGAGTGCTTGGAGAACAATGGTGGCTGTTGGCACGATAAGGCTGCTAACATATCTGCATGCAAGGTACTTCTGGTGGTCTTATCTTCTGTGCTAAATTCTAGTTCATGGGACAACACTTTTCTCTTTTTAGCATATGCATATGATGTTACTTGTGTGTTGTATATGTAGGATACTTTCCGTGGTAGAGTTTGCGAATGCCCGGTTGTGAAAGGGGTAAAATTTGTTGGTGATGGCTACACTCACTGTGAAGGTACCTATACCAGGAAATTGGGATAATTTTTTCTTTGTTTATTTTTCAGTATTGAAATAATGTAATGGACCGTACCCTGCCTCAGATAGCTGATTACTTTTTACCACTCTAACCCTTATTACTGAAGATAGTAAGTAGCGACTGGGCTGTGCACAACACAGTTCTTTTCCAGGACATGCAAGTTTAGTCTCATTGAATATTCTTGTACCTGCCCTTGTTATTTTAGCTTCAGGATCTGGTCGCTGTGAGATTAACAATGGTGGATGTTGGAAAGAGACCAGGAATGGCCGGACACACTCTGCCTGCACTGTAAGTAATCAGTTTGGATTTGTTCCTAACCTTAATGCTGCCACATGTATTATCTGAAATCTAAAGGTGTATATCTGGTGTTCATAACCTGCAGGATGGTGGCTGTAAATGTCCAGATGGGTTCAAAGGTGATGGTGTTCACAAATGTGAAGGTAAGAGTCAGTCCCTGAACTCCATTATGCTATCACAACTGCTTATTTGCCCTGCAGATTTGTAGCTTTCTGTGCACAAATATGAATAGGAACCTACTCCGTAGTTTTAAAAAATAACAAAAATATTTGTGTTTGAGTGAACAAATATGAATATCCACCTAGAATTCTGCGACAGTCATAGCGTACTGAACGTTGTTGGTCATATTATTGGCAACTCCTTTGTAGCTGTGCTGATGTGAAATATTTTGTGCTAGATGTTGATGAATGCAAGGAAAGGACTGCATGCCAGTGCAAGGAATGTAAATGCAAGAACACATGGGGAAGCTACGAGTGCGGGTGTGGTGGTGGCTTGCTGTACATGAAGGAGCATGATACGTGCATAAGTATGTCCATATCTCCTATAACAAGCTTACTATCGCCCCAGCAGTAGCGCCTATATACTTGAGCTAAGCTATAATCTGTGATATTTGGAGGCCATAAGATCCCCCAAATTGCAAGGCTAGCTATAATAATCTATATGATGCTCGCTCATTTTATTTGTGATTGTTTCTTCAATAGATTAGCTGTCAAAAGCTTACTAAGTCAACACATTTTATCCAGGCAAAGATGCAGGAGCACGGGTAGGCTGGAATTTCCTATGGTTTCTATTGTTTGGCCTAGCGGCAGTAGGAATCGCAGGATACGCGGTGTACAAGTACAGGATCCGGGTAAGATACCTGTACAGATTGACTGTTTAGACATAGATAACTCTAGGCTGTCGTCTAAACCGTTTCTGTGATGCTTTTTTTTGTACGCACAGAGCTACATGGATTCAGAGATCCGCGCTATCATGGCACAGTACATGCCCCTGGACAACCAAGGAGAGATCCCCAACCATTCTCACCATATTGAGATGTGAAGGGCAGCAGCACAGGCTGATAGGCAGTTTGTTTCAGCTTACGGGAGGGATGATTGGGGGAAGAGAAGAACACTTGTCTTGCATATGTTGTGTGTGGCCATCCTGTAAATTCAGTCGTAGATCAAACTGGAAGAGAAACACTTGTCTTGAATGGTGTGATCATCTCTTTCTTTTCTGTTCTCTAATCAGAAAAGAGATGGCAAACTCATGTCATGTGTGCTTCTTTTTCCTAGGTTCTCCTTTTTAACCCATGGTGATGATTGTCCTAACTTAGAGATTTGTTAAACTGGATGTTGATTAGTAGTACTTCCAGGTGTCTTGTTGGTAAAAGAGAAGGAAGATAAGAGTACACAGTAGTAGATTAATACTATCTCGCTAAAGGCTAAGTAGGAGTATAATAATAATTGCATGCCAGTACTTGAATTAGAAAGGGTGGCTGGATCATGTTAGGTTGTTGTAGAAGCCACGTCCAATTTTGATTGCAGGGAGAGGGACTCTCCAACAAATTTTGTAAAGGAATGGAATGACCTGTCTCTGTGCTCACTAACCCTGTCCCCGCCTTGTGTACGAAAAAATAAAAAGGCAATGGTGGATGCAGGAAGATGCTAGTAAGTATAAGCATGCTTGTCTTAGATTTACCCTAGAATGTTGTACTCCCTCCGTTTCTAAATCTAAGTCTTTATAGAGATTCCATTATAAACCGTATATGGATGTATATAGATGCATTTTAAGTTTAGATTCATCCATTTTACTCCGTATGAGCGGAATCTCTATAAAGACTTATACTTCCTTCGTTTTAAAATAGATGACTCAATTTTGTACAAAATTAGTACAAAGTTGGGTCATCTATTTTGGAACAGAGGGAGTATTTAGGAACGGAGGGAATATCTTCTACACCATACCCTGTCCCTGCCTTTAGAAAAAAACAAAAAGACAATGGTAGATGCAGAAAGATGCTAACAAGTATTACCCTCATCCCAAAAATCTTATCTAGATACAGATGTATATAGCACTGGAAACATCTAGACAAATTTAACCTTTGTCTCAAATTACTTGTCTTAAATTTATCTAGACATAGGTGTATCTAACACTAAAACGTGGCTGGATACATCTTTATGTAGACAAATCTAAAACAAATACTGTAATTAGAAACGGAGGAAGTACGTAAAAAGAGAAGAAAACAACAGCCCCCTCAAAGCTTCATCTAAAAAAAGCTCTCTCTTCTTTCTATTAGGAGGACCAGCTGAGCATTCCTCGTGTTTCTGGGAGGTTAAAATACCAAGGGCATTTACGCGAAAGAAAAAACTAGTATAATAGGACGGCAAATTTGAAAAATTTGACCTGTGAATGAAATCAAATCGCAAAATGAACTGCCCGTGAAACTATTTCACGCGGTTGACCTTTTTGTGTGATGCCCGACACGAAGGCGTTACACTACACTGTGCAACGCCTCACAGATAGGCGCTACACGCCTGGCCAGCGTTGCATCCTAGACTGCCTAAAAATTGCTAAGTCAATGTGCAGAGCCTAAGAGCTAGGCGCTGCACTGTATAGTGGGGCGCCTAGCTCTCAGGCGCTGCACTAGTGGTTGCACTACAAAATGAAGCAACCACTAGTGCAATGCCTAGAAGCTAGACGCTACACTGTATAGTGTGGCGCCTAGCTCTCAGGCGCTGCACACTGACTTAGTAATTTTCGGATCACATGGGTGCGACGCTGGACAGGCGTGTAGCGCCTATCTGTGAGGCATTGCACAATGTAGTGTGGCGCCTTCGTATCAGGCGTCACACAAAAAGATCAACCGCGTGAAATTGTTTCACGGATAGTTCATTCTGTGATTTGATTTCGTCCATAGGTCAAATTTATCAATTTTGCCTAACAGGACCATTTGCGTGAACGATTGTTGACCACGAGATGCACCTAACCCCCTAAACCCTCCGCTGTTTGTTTGGACGCTTACTTCAGTGGTAGTTGTATCTCACAGTCTCAGTACAGCCACATGTCCACTCCTGCTATTCCCACCTACCCCTACTCCCACCCCCATCGCACGGAAGCACGACGATAAAACGCCCACGCTCTTCCATCTCTGCCATAACAAACGCAAAGCTGCTCCATCATCTTCCTCTTTGTTTCTCTTTCATCTGTTGACCTCTGCAAGAAAACAAGTAAGCCTGTCCAGCTCTACTCTCATTTCTGCTCTTTTTGTTTCAAACAAATTTTAACACGCCCAGGTCAGCTAGTATCATGAGTGGCAAACGAGAAAAAGAAACCAGAGTCAGCTTTTGATCGGATTTCGCTTGAAATTAACTGCAGTGGGATCGGAGCAGGAGAAGAAGGCCGCCGCCACGGTGGAAGTGGAAGGCATCCCGTTCCCGCGGGAAATCGCCGGCGCCAAGACGCTCTCGCTCGTCGGCCATGGCAAGCACTAGAATCTCTGACTGAAGAACAGACACGAACGAATCATTTTTTTTTTTTGACACAATCAAGTTCAACTTCAACGTGCAGGCGTCACAGACATTGAGATCCATTTCCTTCAGATCAAGTTCAACGCCATCGGGGTCTACCTCGACGTCGACGGCGCCATGGAGCATCTGCAGGGCTGGAAGGGGAAGAGCCAGCTGATGGAGGACGAGGCTTTCTTCGACGCCCTGGTCTCCGGTGAGACGATGGATGGATGATAATCGACCTCCAACAAGTGACGCTGGTCATATGTTTCTGACACGATGTTGCGCGTGCATTTGCAGCTCCGGTGGAGAAGGTGCTGAGGGTGGTGGTGATCAAGGAGATCAAGGGGTCGCAGTACGGCGTGCAGCTCGAGAGCTCCGTCAGGGACCGCCTCGTGGCAGCGGACAAATACGAGGACGACGAGGAGGAGGCGCTCGAGAAGGTCTCCGACTTCTTCCAGTCCAAGTACTTCCGGCCCGGCTCCGTCGTCACCTTCCACTTCCCGGCCACGGTCACCGCCGCGCCAGAGATATCGTTCGTGACGGAAGGCAAGGAGGAGGCCAAGGTGGCGGTGGAGAACGCGGCCGTGGCGGAGATGATCCAGAGGTGGTACCTTGGCGGCGATTCGGCGGTGTCGCAGACCACCGTCAGGAGCATCGCTGATAGTTTCGCGGCAATGCTCACCTCACCATGATTCTTTTTTTACAAGTGCTGCTTACCTGCTTTTGCAATAAATCGATAAGTCACGATGAAATATTTCAAAAAACACTTGCTGGCGAAGCCCTACCGGTCCTTTGGCAACTCGATCCAAACGCTGTACAAATTATTTCTAAAATTTTCATAAATAACACTTTATTATTTAAATATTACACCCGGTCTCTGAATAATTAAGATGCACACGGCCAAATCAAATTCAGTCTCAGAAAGAGAAAAAAAAGGACAAAATACAGGTATTCATGAAGAGACTGGATGACGCCTAAACCGTTGAAGGGCCAATCCTAATATCATGCTACCATCCATGTGGGGTAGAAGTAGTTTTCTAAGCGTGTACACATATCTGTAAACAAGACTCGATTCTTCACACATTGTAGAGACGAGCATAGAGCGTACTGGTACATCTGTAGATAACCTGCAAAAGGGAAGTACTTTTATGGTTAAATACCTTGCCAAAGCGACCAAATAACAACAAACGCTCCCATCATGAGAAGAATTTTAAACCTGTACTTTATCCCATGTAACCAGTTGTCAAATATATTAGCAACACTACCTGAAGGATACAAGCCAGAAACTACTTGGATGACTAACCATATAAAACGAGCCAATTTGCATTGGAAAACAAGTGTTTTATTGTTTTGTCGTGATGACAAAAACACATTGCGTACTTTCATGCCAATTCTTCTTAATAAGGTTGTACTTGGTAAGAATGACTTCTCGACGAAGATACCACGCAAAGATTTTATTCTTAAGCGGTATCATCATCTTCTAAATCTTCTTATTCTTATCAACTGGCACATGTGACTAGATCAAAGCACTATACATATAATCCACTGTGAATTTACCATTCACGTGTAGGTTCCACTGAAATTCATCGGCTCCCAGTAACAGTAGTACCGTGTATAGTCTTAGTAACAAAGTGTTTCACGACTCAAGTCTAGGGCCAATTAGATCTCTTCTGAATGTCACATTTGACATAAAGGATTCCAAAACCGTGACGATAGTATCAGCCTTGTGACGCACAATATTGTATAGAATCGGATATTGTTCTCGAAGTGTAGCATTGCCTAGCCACTTATCCTTCCAGAATCTAATTCCCGGTCCGTCTTTAATAGCGAAGGATCCACAACGGAAGAAGTATTTCTTCGTAGCCATTAACCCAACCCAAAAGTGTGAGTCCCCATGGCTTAATCCAACCTGGTGGCCTGGATATGCGCTCCCCTCCAAATCCAGGATCATTTCGGTCTCCGGCCATCGTCACGTCCCCGATGCCTCTCATTCCTCCCAACCACCCAACCTCACCCATGTTCGTGACCTGCCCGTCCTTCCGCCTGCTCTGGACCTCACATGTCCGGCGGTGCCCTGTGCCTCCTTCGGCGGCGGGCGTGGTTCTCGTTCCTGTACTGGTCACAGCTTTGACCTATGCCCGACTTCCTCTTCTCCAATTGATGCTCCTACTGCTTGGGATTGCTTGTACTCAGGCCAGGGCAAAATCCTTACATCCTATACTAGCAGCGGCGACACCCGCGAGTGTCTTCCCCTTCTTGGAGGTGCTACCATGGCCGTTATGTGTGCCCCTCTTTGAGCATCAGGGGATACCCTAGGTCCGATTATCAGGATTGGATGGCGACGACATCTTGGCGTCGTTCTTCTTCGTGAAGGCGTTGTCTTGTTTTCTTTGCAGCGTCCTCTGTTCTGGATTTAGAGATGTTGGTTGTCTAATTGTTGGTTTCGATCACTTCTTGAGAATGCGTGTTTAGCCTTGTTTTTCTCTGTTTGGGCTGAGCATTCCATGTATCTCTCGCGTCCATGCCATGTGTACCACCTCTTGTACTCGCTCTAACTTTTTCTTTCAATGGAATGATATGCAAGCTCTGCATATTGGCAAAAAAATATAACACGCTAAGGGCCTATTTGGTAGCTCGCCAGCTCCCAGCTTCCATGTATTTGCGAGCGGAGCTAGCCCGAACGGCGCCAGGAAGCTGGCTTCCCGGATCGAACCAGCATCCACGTACAAAAACTGGGAGCTGGTGTTTCGTCGATCCCAGGAATCGCAAGAGTTGGAATTCGAGCTATTTACGGCAAGCTGCCACCGCGAAGTGGAAGAAAACATTTCGTCAAGCGAAGAAAAGACCGGAGGGACTCCCTTCCCTCCCTACCAGGCCAGAATCGAGCTTAATGGGCCAGCCAGCTCCAACTTGGGCCAAGTTTGGCCTGTCCTCAACTCCCAGTAGACCAAAATCAACTGAAAAAGGCTGCCAACCCATGCGTTGTGAGAGAAAACTGGAGCTGGCACACCGAACGGCTTTCCGATCGCTAGCTTTCATTTGGAAAGCTGGCATACGAAACGGGAAGCTGGATTTCAGGATTTTCAGGAGTTGGGAAGCTGCCCGAACAGGCCCTAAATTCTGCTAAATGGCTTAGCGTGTAGCCCTTGCAAATATTGTAGCACCGACATATCATGCTATTTAAAAACTATGGTATTTGTACACCAGTTCACAACGAAAACATTTTCTGAACTACTGTGGTATGTTTATAGGTTGTTCCAGTCATATGTGTAGCCCAGATTCGACGTGTCATGTCTTTGACTGTATTCACACTTCCCAGTATTATACGGACGTTAGGGAATAGGGGTTTTCAGTTCTGCTTTAGATATTTTCATGTGCTTTCATTCTTTGCTTCTTGCGTGTGTTTCTATTTAAAAAGTTCTTGTGTGTTTTTCTGTTTGAGTGTTTTCCCTAACCTGCATGCGTGCTAACGGAGCCTGGGCATTAGAAGGAAAACGTCTCGTAGTTAATTTGGAGCGGTATATTGTGTTGTGGAGTACAAAATCATGACACAGAAAGTCCAAACTAGTGGAGATCTCGTTCATTTGGAACACAAAAGTGGCCACGGCGCGTATTGCACGCATGCATCTTCTGGCTCAAAACATCCGTATAGTGTCCAATGTTCCATCATACTGCTGGATGGTGCAATAGCTAGGTACACACATACCTGAACATCCATGCACATCAATAATTAGGAAAACAATTACTATTCATTAATTGCCTGAACAAGTAGGTCAGGCACATCAGACGTACACATCGGCTAGGACTGGAGTACAGCAAGGAGTTGACAGTTCACTCACGCATACGGACGCGTGCATACATGTCGCATAAATATATATGCACACACAGTGTGTGTGCAAGGTACAGACATAGACACACTACTGAAATAACACACACAGGCAACTTCATTTTATTTTTTAGTAGCTCAACATCGTATGAGCACTCCATCAACGTAGAAATTAAGCTCCACGCAAGCGCGTCCATGCATGCACGTAGGAAGGATTATATATTGAACTAGTTGACACTGCATAAGAATAAGACATATATATTATGTCAGAGAAAAACACGGCAGATGTAACATGCTAAAAAAACACAATCGACCGTATTTCTTAAAATATGAACTTAATATCACTGTTTTGTTACTATATATTTACTTCCTACTCCTAGCTCTTAAGAAAATACTATGCTTGTACGTGTTTGCTCATGAGTTGTTCTATTTTTCCTCCTTTTTGGGGAGTCATATTGTTTGTATTGCCTGGTGTAAAAAACCGTTTGCTTTTTATAACGTGGAAACAGACGGTTATGGAGTAGCGCCACATGGAAATATGCACAAGATCTGGACTACACGGCTGCGCGAGAAGATGAAAATGCATGCATTTGGATGAGTAGACCGAAAGATTAGAACATACTTGTTGCAGTTGGTGGACATGCTGATGGGGAAGGGCACGCTGACGCCGCACTTGCCGGGCACGCCGGAGACCTTGCCCATGTTGATGGACTTGATGCTGGTGGCGAGGCTCTTGAGGCACCTGCACGCTATCTTGCGGTCCGGGCTGCTGCGGGCCAGGCCGTTCAGCCCCTGCACGCCGGAGCAGCACTCCTTGCTGATCGAGGACGCCCTCCCCGTCACGTACGCCACGCACGGCGCGAGCTTGGAGTCCACCTGCCCGCACGACAGCGCCGCCGAGGCCTCCCTGCCGGCCATCATCAGCACCACCGCCGCCAGGACCACGGCGGCCGCCACAGCCTTGCTGTTGAGACGAGCCATGGATCGCTAGCTGCAAGCTAGTTCCTTAAGCTGCTAGCTGGCTAGCTAGTGGGTGATCAGATGAGTGTGGTTAAGCTGGTGGAGTGTGATGGTGTGGAGGAAAGGGTGTGGCGTGGAGGGTATAAATAGGGGAACGGTGAACATGCAGCAGGATTGATTGAGCAATTGATGCCCGTCGCTGCCAGGTCGTTGGCTGGTGGAGTTAATTGAGAAGGTCGATCCACCCTGCAAGTGCATGTACCCGCTAGAAAGTACGCTCGATCTCTTTGTAATTGGCATGTGTCTCTTTGCTTTTACTTTGTTTTTTATATGTTTTTCTTTTGCGGGAAGAAAAGTTACTGGTGGTGTGAACTTCTTGGTTGCTGCCCTGACCCTGAAACTGCCTCATGGCTCCACATATTCAAGACAGTGTTTGGCTGCTCCCATGGAATTGTAACCATGACTGAGTAGCTAGTTTTTGGGCGCAAGGGCCCCTTTTCTATCCCTGTTGCCGCTGTCACCCATTTGATCACTTAATCATACCATGTTTTCCGTCTGCTCTCTCACTACCGGAACAAGGCCATACCCCGACGGCCAAAACAATGCCGACGGCCCTCGTCGGCTTCCTGGGAGATATGCCGACAGCCTGGTTCTGGCCGTCGGCGTACAAAGGCCGTTGGGTTACGCAGAGATAAGCCGACGGTACCCGTCGGCATAGAATGGCCGTCGGCCTAGCTACATATACGCCGACAGCTCCCGTCGGCTTACATAGGCCGTCGGCATACACGTGGGGCCCGGCCACCCCCTGGCTAACGGCGTCAGAGCTATGCCGACGGCCTAGACGGGGGGCCGTCGGCATAGGTCCGCAGGCCACGTCATTGATCCAGGCCGCACCATGCAGAGCCTATGCCGACGGCTGCCGTCGGCATATCTGCCACGTCAGTGATCCGCGGCACGCTGGTCGGATCTATTTTCGGTACATATTTTTTAATGCTTTTTTATGTATTATCATATCAACTAACATGTAACATGTTAAATATAAACATACATATGAATATATATGTAGTTTGTATTTTTTCATATATTATGAATATATATATATATAGTTTGTATTTTTTCGAGCACGTTAATAATGTGCGGTCATGTTCTTTTAAATATAGATCCTTATATTTTATTAAAATCAAAAACAGCTATGCCGACAGAAGTTTTGTGGCAGTTGCAAATGCCCGACACCCGTCTCCAGAGAGTGACCCCCCTCACATCCGCGGTGTGCCCCCCCTCATGGACGGCGCCGCCGCCGGCACCTGGAGGGGGGAAACGGACGCGTCGGGTCTACACGGAGTGGATGTAGCTGTGGTTTTGGCCCGGATGTTGCTCCCGGGTGTCCCTCTGGGCCGACCTAACACAACCGGGTGGAGAGGTCCACTGGTCAAAGCCCGTCCGTGGGAAGTCAAAAGGCTAGATCTCGTGGTCAACCGCTCCAGGGTTAGGCGGGACGGGGGCCCTGGGGG